TTACTACTGATTTTCATATAAATTCTGATTTTTTTTTTTTTTTACAAAATTAAAAGGTGAAGTATTCTTTCAGTTTTGTTTTTAGTTTTTGGCAGGTCATGGACCACTTAATATCTTCATGATAGGTTAACACACCCTGCTTTCAATATGATAGGGTATATGTCTTATTTATTGGCATTGCATTACTGTAAGTGGGCTCATTAAAAGGTTTCACTCCCAAAGACACATGAAATTAAGTCTGAAAACTTAGTTTTCCTCTTCAGGACAGTTAACTAAATTATTAATGGGAAAGAAAAGCTGTGTCATCTTTCTAATTGAAGTTGTATGTGGTAACTGGTATAGAAAATGCTGGACTTCAACCTCTCTATATAAAACCACAAATGCTGTTCATTGAGAAAACAGTCTCAATGTCTATTTCTGGACCTCTAATAAAACTGTTTGACTTATTGGTTATGTTAATTATTAGCTGTTTACACAGATTGAAATAGTACATATCTATACTTTATGAACAGAAATATACCTACAAAATATCTGTATCTAGTTATATCTACACACTTTCTTACCGCAGTAAGTGAAGTTATATGGGTGTGAGAATAGCTATCTTCCTTTGGTAGTGTCACAACATTTTTTTTTATTACAAAAGTTTATTTTTACATCATTTTGTACATTTTTTTCCATCTCAATTGTAATCCCCGCGGGTTTCCCATCACCAAGTCACCCGTGTGCCATCACCATAATCCCGTGCATTTCCCTTTGTGTCACTACATTTTTAGATATTTTCTTTACATTCATTCTTATCTTCTGAGCATCATAAACTTTTTCCAGCACAACTTGTTTTAGTTAATGATTTTACTACTAAATTTAATGATTTTATCCATGCCCCTGCCGTTTAAAAAATCACTCTTTTTGATAACAGGGTGATCTAAAGCTACACTGATGTCCTGCCCAAGGATGAGGAATTGACTATTTTCTAATGGTCTCTGTTTCCTTTATAAAAATATGTAGAAAGAGAATAATATTAGAGACTAAAACTCTGGGTGCTAGGATATTTAAAGGTATAAACAGGCAGGTGAAGGTAACAGTTATTCTTAAAGGAAGGGAGTGAATTTATTCTCTTCTCAGGACTTGAGATGCCTTTTTTTCCCCCCAATTGAAATAGAAAACATTCTCTGCCAGCAAGACTATGGACAAAGTCTTGTGGTTCTGTGGGTCAACACTTCTTGACTTACCTTTGGTTTGACTAGGGTTTTAAGAAAAGAAAGAATGGTACCTTTAAAAGTCTGGTGACCTCAACTCCCTCTATTAGGGTCTCATTATGGAGTTTTAATATAAAAATTAATTACCAAGAGATCTTAATACAACACAGATACAGCAAAATGACTGGGTTGTAAGTCCGCTGTTCTAACAAGCTCCAAGGTGATGTTCCTGCTGTTATCTGCGGATTGAGATGCTATCTTTGGCTGGACCTTAGAATCACCGGGAAGGTTAAATAAAAATATTGGTCTCACCCCTAGAGATTCCATTTTGCTGATGTAATTGATATATATGATGACCTAAACATCAATAATTTAAAAAACTCTCCAGGTGACTTTCTTGTGCAGCAAAATTTGAAAATCCTGGTTACAGTTAAAAGTTAACCAACATGGCCCTCCCTGGTAGCGCAGTGGGTTAAAGCACAGCACTAAGAAGCTAAAGCCACATTAGCATGAGTTTGATCCCCACCCGCCCCGGAGGAACCCACATGGCGTGGCAGACCTGTCCTGACCTGCCCGCTGCTCCCCTCAGAAGGGTACTCTGGCAGTCTGCCTGTTCTGCTCCCCACTCTGTCTCTGGTGAATCCTCTCACCACCCCTGCACCTCTGGCCTGTACCCCAGTTCTGTATGCATAAATAAATAAACCTTTAATAAAAAAATTAACCAACATTATTTGTTTTGCGAGAAGAATTCTACAGTGACTCTTTTATTCAACCTTTTCATGGCACAATATACAATGTGCTTAGAAACATTGGCTTCCAAATCTTGAACTTGCCACTATGTGCCAACATGGGGCATTTTCATCAGAAGTGGTAAAATAAGCAAAGTAAATATAATACAGCAAATTTCACAGAGCTAAATTTATTCAATTTCTAAAATAACGTTTTACCCTGTGGGGGATTAAAATGTATTTGCTTAATGAAGTGGAGATAATACATATTTTTATTTGTTTATTTATGCCCTTAATTTGCTTAACAAAAAGTTGGGAATTTTATATTGATATTCATAGGCTTTTGGAAATGTAGTAGACTTATAAAATCTGAAAATTTGGGAATTTATGGTAGAAAAATCAGTGAAGATTTGAAAATATTTTGAAACTAGAAAGCATGTGATAGAACTATGGTTTTTAATCTTTGATTCTATAATCCCTGGGGCAGGGACTTTTTTGAATAATTTTGTCTTTTTTGTAAGCAACAACATTTCTCTACAGAATGAACAAATAACATACCTCTTACAAATAAAGGGACTACTTTTCCAACTGTTGGTTAAAATACAAATTTAAGAAGGCCTTGCTGAACACAAATAGCTTTTAGATTTTATGCATTCTGTTTTTTTAAATTAATTTTATGTTGGTTTAGAAAATTATGTAAGTTTCAAGGGTATGGTGGCATACACTTGCTTAAATGTACATACCACATTGCACCTACCACTGATATCTAGTATCACCCACCAGTAGCAAATTGATCCCTTCCACTCCTTGCTCCCATCACTCTCCCTCTTTCCCTCTGTTACCCACCATTTTGTAATGAGTCTGAATTATATTTGTTCAGTTTCTGTTCCTTTGCCTCACTTTCTGACTTTTCTCCGCTTAGCATAATCATCTTAAGTTCTATCCATGTTGCTGCAAAAGCCCAAGATAGCATATTTTAAATAGCTTAATGGTATTCTAGTGAAAATAGATGCCACGACATCTTTATCCAGTCACCTGTCTATGGGCATTTAGGTGATTTCCATATCTTGGCTCATTGTGAACAGTGGTGAAATGGACATCAGGGTGCAAATATCTTTTGGAATCAGTGTTTTCATATTTTGGGGATAATTATCAAGAAGTGGTATTGCTGGGTTATATGGTGATCCCATAGTTTTTTAAGGACCCCCATTCTGTTTTCTATGGAGGCTATGCCAATTTATATTGCCACCAATAGTGTAAAAGGGTTCCTTTTTCTCCACACCCTCACCAACACCTGCTGTTTCTAATCTTTTCACTATAGACCATTCTCACAGGTGAGGTGATGAACTCAATGTAGTTTTGATTTTATGAACTTTCTTTTGGCAACAGATATGGCTTTCCAAATATATGAAAATAATATTTATTGCTTTTTAGTCTCTTACTGTGAGTAAAGCATCACACTAAGCATTTGATATAGACTATCACATATGATCCTCACAATATCTATCCAGTGGAGTAGGTATTATTATCACCAATTTACAGATGAGGAAACTAAATCATAGAGAAATAAAATACGTTCAAGGTCACACAGCTAGCCAGTTACAGAAGCAGATTTAGAACTCAAGACTAGTTACTTCTAATCATGACTGTATACTTTATATAACTACATCATGAGAGACTTTCCGATTTTTTTTTTTTGCTAATAACAAAAGTTCTTTAAAATGAAAATGTTTAGAAGCCTTTGTTGTGGGGATTCCCTTTTAGTCATAGGAAGAAACCCAGATTTTAAAAAGCCTGAAACTCTACCGCAGAGACCACCATCATTTTGACACATGGAGAGAAAGCAAAATCTGAATCTCAGTTTCCCCTTCTAAGTTTTTCTCATCTGCACACTTGAGGTGATTCATAGTAATGGTAAGAATGTGAACCTTTGCGTTAAACTGACATTGATTGAATGTAAGTATAATTCGTTGTGTGACCTGGGGCAGTTACTTCACCATTCTGAGTCTTGGGTCCTTGACCTATAAGATGACATCCATCTTTCTGTGTGTCTTTTTAACTCATGGCAACAGTTTATCTTTCTTTCTTGGTGGTTTGTGTGTGTGTGTTGTAAAGTTTGAAGCATGCGTTGTTGTTTTCAGAGATGCTGGTAGCTCTACAGGGTGTAAGTGCAGGGGTCCTCATCAGCCCCTTCAGAGTTCACTGCTGGCTTTGTCAATTCAAATTCACCAAGAAGCAGAGTCCAAGATGGAATTAGATATGCAGGAGATTTTTTGAGGATTCCTTAATCCTATGAAGGGTTAAGTAAAGGGGGCTGGAATAGGCAGGGGATAGACCTCATGAAGGAGAGAAGGAAGGAGTAGGGTTGGCAGAACCTCAGCTGGCATCAGAGTTCTGTCTTAATGGGAAGTAGCAGTGGGAAGACCAGCTCAAGGGTTGCTCGTCAGAGATGCCCCATGTCAGGCAGAAGGCTCTAGTACTCTAGCATGCTCAGTCTTTGGGTCAAATAGCCTGGGGGAGAATGCGACCTTGCTATGAGCATCGCAGCAGACCCCAAAGTTGTAGCAGCTGGAGACTGTCAGCTAATAACACTCCCCAGAGCGTTCCCTCTCTTACAGCAATCTGAGTGTGTGCATCTATGGCTGCCACGCTGGAACTTTTAATTTTATACTGAAAATATGTCATTTTCTATCGGGCGATACAAAGGAAAATGATCCACATGCAGAGAAAGTACCCATAAGGTCATTGATGTTTCTTTCTAGAGCTTCCTCTTTGTCCTGTCACCTTTAACTTTACTAACTGCTGCTTAAAAATTATAATTCATCGTCACAACTGCTGGACCCACAATTGATTTCTCATCTCTGTATGTAATAGCAAAATCATGAGTGTAGCAACATCTGGCCTTTTTAATGACTACATATTTAATATTAACCTTTAAATAGCTCATGTTGACAGATAGTTATAACATTAAAAATTCTAATTTTATTAGCATTTCTTATTACTGTTTAAGATCCTTATTAAAGAAGGAACTATTAAGTATAATTAACATAGATTATCTTTTCTTGGTTTGCTACAGTGTGCTGTCTGGCATGACGGATGCAGTATTGGCTCGAGTGTATAAACAGTCAGATCTGGACACCCTGGCTAAAGAAGCATCCATCCCAATTGTCAATGGGCTGTCAGATATGTACCATCCTATCCAGATCCTGGCTGACTACCTCACTCTCCAGGTTGGTTTATTTCTTTGCCTCACACAAGGGTAAGAACAACAAATGGTTCCTCACTAGCTCTAAATGGAGCCATTTAAGTCATAGTACTGGTGTTTTGTTTTCAAATATCATCTTGGCAAAGAATTACAGCATATGTGTGCATGCTAGATTTCCAAGGAAAACAAAGCATTGTTAAAAAGAGATTACAAGATTCCTTCTGTTCTCAGGCTCATTCCCGGCCTCTTTTAGCCTGTTCTCATCTTCTGTCCTTTCAATCACTTTGCTTTTGCGTGCCATATTTAACACAATGGATGAATAGGGAATGCCGGAGCATAGAGAATGGCATAGCTTTGTGTGATTCCCCATTCATCATGATCACCCATACATCAGGCTCCATGGCATGGAAGAGATACTGATGGATTGTGCTTTGAATATTCAGAATGGTCAATTACTAAATCACTTTCTGAGAAGAGGGAACTTTCTATCATTTTAATAAGCTGATTATTTAAGACGAGTGTTAAGAACATACCGAATTTATAGAATTGGGGCTCAAACTTGAACGTGTCCCCCCAAATGAGGAATTTCCAATGACTTTGAAAGATTAATCTCATTTGGTTTGCAACAGCCCATTTCCTTGCTTCTTAGAACCCTGAAAACCTGGATTTCTGTTTCTCGGGGCATTTCTGGGAGAGAAGGCAAATTGGATAGTTTCAGTTTTCTCTCCACTGGAATAAACTGCACACATGCAAATATGGGGTTAAACTCAAATTCAAACTCTTTGGATATGAGAATAAAATACATATATACAGGGAGGTTGGTATCTAAGATGCCAAGTGGCTGTTGTGGGTGTTGCTTTACATATACACCAGATAATTTAATGCTCCCCCCTGGGACTTTATCATTATTAGATTATAGATTCATTGAGAGAGATAAAGAGAGATGCTCTATTCGTTATATTGTCCCCTGCAGGATCTGGTGCAATGCCTTCGAATAGGAGATATTCAAAGGAGGAGTGGATTGAATCAATAGCTGATTATCAAGAACATGAAATCTAAACCAGATACTTAGATTTAAATCTTAGCTTAGTCACCTGGTAGTTCTGTGGCCTCTAAATTACTTAGCCCTTCTCTTTTTAAATATATTATCTTTATAAATATATTGTCTATATATATATAGTATATAATTATATATAAATGTATTATCTATATAAAACCTATAGACAACTCGAGAAAAGAAGGCCTATATGGCCATTAGAGTTTTGTCAAATCTTACTTTAGAATTTTTATTGTTTTTAAAGAAAAGATTGCAGATACACTTGAAGCCCTCTGTGTAACTCTCCATGAGCCCATTCCCTCCACCCCACTAAGAAATTATTCTCATGTTTGTATTCAGTTTTCCCTCTTTTATTTCTAGTCACAGCTTTGTTTATAACCACCCTGAGTCACATCTTTCTTTATTTATATTGTTTTTTTATTGAACTAACATTGTTTTACAATGACACTATATATAATTTACAGACAAAACCAAAGCAAAATAAGTCTTAGAACTCTGACTTCAGAACTGAGGCTATGGGGTAGGAGTTGGTGGGGGGGTAGGAGAAGGGAGCAAAAAGGGGGGAAAAGTGCCAATGGACTCTGGTGGAGGATTATGGGTATTTTGGTGATAGGCATGGTAAAATGCTTCTATTTATAATTCCCAGGCATGTTCTTAAATTAATTTATTTTAAAAATCTGTGTTTTTTCCCCCCAATATAGGATTTTTCCTCTCAGGTGGGGCCAGCATAGTTTTCCCACCATCAAAGTGTCTCAGGCATGTTTTTACAACATCAGTGACACATGTCTGTGTCCACCAACAGCCCAAGGGTATTATTGGACATGCTTTCAACTTTACCTAAATGGGAACATTCTTGACCATCACGCTTCATTGTCCCAGTGCACTGAATTTCCCTTTTCTTATCCAAAGAATGTGAGCTCCATAAAGGCAGAGATTTTTGTTTCCTTTGTCCATTGTTAGATCTTTAAGTCCAAGAACAACATCTAGACATAAATGGAGCTCAATTTGTTGACTAAAGGAGTGAAGATAACAAAGATTTAGATTTAAAAATACAGGAAAATATGAATACCTTATATGCTCATAAAATGTCTTGGTTTAAGACACTAGGAAAAATGGGCCTTTCCTGGAGTTAAAGGGGTTAAAACACAGCACTTTGAAGGAATCTGCAGCCACTGCAGCAGGAGTTCAATCCTCAGCCAGGGAGGTGACCCACAGACCTCTCCTATCTCACCTGCTGCTCCCCTCAGCAGTGCATTTCAGTACACCTGCATGTTCTGCTCCCCATTCTGTCTCTGGTGAGTCCTCTCACCCCCGACCCCCTGCACCTCTGGCCTATACCCCAGTTCTTGGATGCATAAGTAAATAAATCTTAAAAAAAAAGATGTTAGGACATATTCCTATATTTTAGAATTGCACACTCATGTCATTGCTTGGTATAATGCAAAAAAAAAAAAAAAGAAAAAAAAGTGGGTCATTGCCCCAAAGCATTAAAATAGAGAGGAAGCCTGTTTCCTTTATTTTTTACCCTAAATAACTGTCTCACATACATGCACTCCCTCCCACATGTAATCACCTCGCTCCCTCGCCTTTTAGGAACACTATGGCTCTCTAAAAGGCCTTACCCTCAGCTGGATTGGAGACGGCAACAACATTCTGCACTCCATCATGATGAGTGCTGCGAAATTTGGGATGCACCTTCAGGCGGCTACTCCAAAGGTAAGGAGACTGCCTTGAAACGAACCCCCTCTTAAGCCTTCCCCAGATTCAATTACTGGTGAAAGCACATCTCTCTTCCATTCAAGGAAAGCACAGGTGAGATCACGCAATTCAGGTTGTGATAGCTTTACTGTTGCAACTCTCTGGCCTCCTGAGCACACAATTTCTCACCTCTACAGTAGTGGATCGTCTTGACTGATGCTTTTCGTGCTTTAAGTCTGCTTGAGAAGCATGTCTCAATTGTCCCTTTGTGTGCCCCACAAGCAGCCGTTGTGATGATTGGCATCCCTGGGCATTGCCACAAAGGCCAAAGAAATCCAGGTGGTGTAGGATTCCCCAGGCAACCATTTGGTAGAAAAATGTCAGTCTAATGTGAAGATCATAGTGATACCATCTTCCCCAGCGTGGTGTTTCAAAACGCCCCTGCAGGGACACATCAGCTTTTTAAAACCTGCCTCCCAAATGTCTGGGAAAATGACGCTGCAGACTTCCTACCCTGCTCCTGATCTGTTACAGGGCAGGGAAAGAGGCACCCTGGAACCCTGAAGCCTGCCTGCTCTCAATAGGTTCTGCCATCCGCTGTATCAAGAAAAAACATACTCTAGTGCATCACCTTTAATGGAAAAGAACTTTAATACAATCAGTGTGCAATAAAGAGAAGAGAAAGAATATGGTTTCCAAATCAAGCACTCAAAGTTACCCATCTCCTTGTGGGTAAAGACCCGGCCACACAGGATTGGCCTAAAGCACACTGCGGCCCAATCCTGCCACAGGTCTAAGGCACCTTCTAGTGGGAAGAGGGAAGGGGCAGAAGGGGCCAGGCAGGTCTGGAAGGAAAGAAGCAAAAGCAAAATTAGGGTAAAGGCTGCCATTGTCAGCCTCCCTACGCGTCTGTCACCCATGTCTGTTTCAAGTGTCTCCTATGTGCCCTAAGTCCCTGGTGCAAGTCCAAGGCCAAGAAGCAAGTGCAGCTTCACACGTCTCTCTGCTCCACATGCCTCTCTTTCTTGCTCTCCTTCCCTCCTTTCAGTCTTCTCTCTTCTCCTCCCTGCTCAGCCATTCCCTTCTTTAGGTGGGGCAGGGAAACTAAAACCTCCCTTTTCTATGGGATTATCCTGTTATCATCTCTCAAAGGTGTATGGAAAGCAGGACTTCTTTCCTAAGTCCAAACTTACTCTTTTAATACCCAAGAAATAGGTAACCGTTGTTGTCTCAGAGAAGGTTAACTGGGCACTTCAAGAGTAGAGGTAGGAGGGAAACGGCTTTCACAGTGGAGGCTTTTATACAATTTGAATTTCTTTTTTCAGAACTATTTTTCTTTCTTTTAAAATATTTATTGATGTATGCATAAAGAACTGGGGTACAGGCCAGAGGTGTGTGTGGGGGTCTGTGTGAGAGGATTCACCAGAGACACAGTGGGGAGCAGAACAGGCAGACTGACGAAGTACACTGCTGAGGGGAGCAGCGGGCAGGTCAGCATGCTGCACCATGTGGGTCACCTACCTGGCCAGGGATGGAACTCTGAAGCGGCTGCAGCTAGTTTTGCAGTGCTGCGCTTTAACCCGTTGCGCCACCAGGAGGGCCCCGATTTGAATTTCTAAATGGAAAGCCTTCACCTACAGAAAAACATCAATACGTAAATAAACGCACTCAAATTTAGAAATACAAATCTCTTCAGAAGACCTCCTCTAGGACACCCCCAACCTCACAAAATAAACAGGCCTTGGAAAGGCTGAACCCAAATCCTGAGAGAGATACATACACAAACTAATCTTGAAAGATCCCCACAGAACCTTTCAACACACCATCTCTGCTGCATTCTTTTCCTCATTAGGTTTCTCATTGGCCACTCATGTTCTATCGGTGTCTTTTGAAGAGCCAACTCCCCTAAATAGAAAGAATTTCAGAAACAAAATAAAAGATGGAATTGGCCCTCTGATGTGGAGACGACTATTGTGCACCAGAATGTTTCCCAACAAACAAGTTTACTGTCAGGAGTCACTGCTGGGGTCCTTTCCCCCTGAGAAGTGAAGCCACACTGAAATGGATATGAGAGGCCTAAAAGCTGTGCCCTATACATTTCTTGAGTCTGAGATGTTTACATGTCAATCACTGGGAACATGATTTGCATGGTGCAGAGAAATAGCTGACTTTGTCCAACAGGAATTACCCACATAGCCGAGGCTCTTGTGTCCTCTCCACATCCCTCCCCCGGGGTCTTAGGCTGGCCTCCCCACAGACAAATGCCCCATGAAACAAGGGAGAGCAGACAGAAAAAAGGAAAAGCTAAGTGTGGATGTTGTTTTCTGTGACCAACTATCCTAGTTAGCCCAGGACTAGGAGGTGGCAGGGGATACAGGCTTTGGCCCTAAACTTAGGAGAGCCCCAGGTTACCCTCAGCCCTTGCCAGCTTCAGCCTGATTGCACACATGAGCTGTGCGGTGTAAATTTTGCTCCAGAGTCATGCCAGCCCCAGGCAAGGAAGGCAGGCTTCCATCCTCTGAAGCAGCCATTGGCCAAGAGCAGCAAGTGGAGGTGAGGTGAAAAAACCAGTGAAACTCAGTCAGGAAGAGAAGAGCTGTGCAAGGTTGGGTGTTAGAAGCACACTGATGGAGATCCATTTTAAAAAGCAATCCTCTGAAAGCACCTGAAAAAGCGATCAGCATTGTTTGTTGCAAACAAACACACACACTGACACACATAGACACGTACACATGCTTTTCCCTGGTGTTTTTGCTGGACCACTTTGAGTTAATCTACCCTTCTCCCTCAGTTTCTTACAGCTACCATAACGACCACAGGCTGGAGGCTATAAGATCAGGGAAATGCATTGTCTTCCAGTTCTGGACACTGCAAGTCCGAGATCAAAGTTTCCGCAGGGTGTGTACTTCCTGAGAAATCTCTGCGGAAGGATCCTTCTTGATTTCTGTAGCTTCTTACAGTCACAGGCGTGTTGGCTTAGGCTGGCTTCACTCATCCTCCACCTTCTTTGTGTCTCTGTGCAAATGTTCCTCCTCTTAGGAGGGCACCAATCATATTAAATTTAGGCCAACCCTCATCCCCATTAATTGATTCTATCCATAAAGGCCCTGTTTCCAAACTGGGACATATTCTGAGGTTCCAGTGGGCATGAAGTTCCTCAAACTGGTATCCTGGCCATAGAAGTGGTAGGCATAGACAGCAGTGAATTGCAAGCTGCCCTATTCTAGTAAGCTGTGGGTACCCAGATGATGCATGAAAAGATAATTCTTTTTTCATTCAGTGTGAACTAAAATAAAGAGTCAGATTGTACAAGGGTTTTTTGGGGGGTAATTTTTTTTAATTGAGGTGACATTAGTTGACAACACTGAATAAGGTTCAATGGAATAGGGTCTTATCCATAATCCTCCACCACAGTCCATTGGGTCTCCACCTCCCGTTGCTCCCATCCTCAATTTCCCCTGCTAGGAGCCTCAATTCTACAGTCAGATTTTTTTGGGGTTTGTTTTGGTTTAGTTTTGTTTATTCTTTTTTTTTTTTTAAAGATTTATTTATTTGTGCATACAGAACTGGGGTATAGGCCAGAGGCTCAGGGGCGGCGAGAGGCTTCACCAGAGACAGAGTGGGGAACAGAACAGGCAGAACGACGAAGTACACTGCTGAGGGGAGCAGCAGGCGGGTCAGGAGAGGTCTGCCATGCCATGTGGTTACCTCCCGGGCAGGCGGGACTCGAACTCATGCAGAAATGGCTTTAGCTTCCCAGTGCAGTGCTTTAACCCGCTGCGCCACCAGGGAGGGCCTTGTTTATTCTTTTATTTGGCTTTTTTATCATCTACATATGCATACAATAGTCATCGATATTGGTCTTTCTCATTCTGACTGACTTTAGCACAATCCTCTCCATTTCCATCCATGTTGTTGCAAATGACAAGGGTTCAGATCTGACATGTTGCTGAAGGAGGTTCTACTTCACTTTATGGGAAGGGATCGTTAGCATACTCACTGCACATCTCGTTTGAAGAAAGACTTTGAATTAATGCAAACTATTATGGCATTTAGTTTTTTATAGATAAAACATTGTATATTACATTTAATTTACATTACCAATCATTGTTCCTTTCTATAAGGCGTTTTCAGAAAACCTTTATTCTGTTGGAGAAAAACATGGTTTCAACATTTTATTACATGTCAAGGATGTTTTATTAACAACAAAGGAAAAATCCCAATATTACAGAGTAATTTTAGCATTGTTCTCCTGCAGAAACTCATTTAAATGATAAAGAGTACTAAAACCTGGTTAAATCTTGGTGGGAGTTGGAGTTTAAAAAAATCTTCTGGAAAGTCTGATAGCACAGAAGTTGTTCCATCAATTTATAAGTAGATCTATTTCCTTAAGGCCCAAAGTAAGAGATTTATTATAAATTTAAGAAGCACTGAAAAGTTTCCAAGGCCATAATTAATCTATTTCCCCATCCTTCAACCAAGAATAACCTACGAGTTCAAGAAAACATAATTTTGTCCATGGTTGTAAAATCTCTCTATAAACTACTGAAAGTAATGATTTTAACATTGTTCTAAGTGAATATTTAGACTGAACTGGGTTTGTTAATCACCTTCTTCTTCATCTGGTTTTAAGATTTATGTAAAAGCCAATGAGTGATTTAGTATTGAAAGCTAAGCTGTGAGTAAAGAATTCCTCTTTGTATTCTCCGTCATGGCCCAGTGCATGCAAGGTTGGGTGATTTTCTAATTTCCAAGCCTCTCTGTTGGTTCTCTAAGTACTTATTGATTCCTTCTCTAAGAGTGATTATGCCTAGGGAGTGCAGGACCTGCTATTCAATGTGTTGGCTAAATTTTCAGGGCAGGAGTCACCTGGAGTAGCAGCCTGGAGTCTCCATTTCTGCTTAGCAGTCACACCATTAGTTATTAAATTTGCGAGTTTTATTAATTACCTTTCCTGAACGCTGATCAACAAACTCCAGGAGTATGGCTATCCGAGTGTGCAAAAGCTGCCAAAACATCAGCAGCCACCACCATCATCATCATTTGAGCAGTTTCCTCCAAATTTTGTAATGAGAGAAAGAACTGTGATAGAAAATCACATGTGCAAATGAACAGTTTCAAATAATAAACCTGAACATGCTTTTCTCGGGCTGAATTCTCCAGGACGTAGACTTGGAGAGTTCAGTTGAAGACTGAGCAGGGTGTTTAATAGGGTGTGCCCTTGACATCAGCAACATCTACAAGGTAGAGGAAGGAAGCAAGAGTGGGTTCAGGGTGGACAGTGAGCTGGCATGCAGGCCCAGGGTCAGCCTCAGTTGACCCTTTAGATAATTCCAGATCTGTGATGGCCATTTCAGTTGCCCCAAGTTGGGAGGAGGGAAGCAGGCTTTCAATATCCTCCTGTCGATCATTGAATGGAGGTGGCCCTGGGAGGGGCTGTGACCTTGGCTGAGTGGGTTCTCTGCAGCTGAGGCAGTACCCCAAAAGGGCTGACAGCTGAGGGACAACTTCTGGCAGCACATCTTGTACAGGGGTATCAGACCTTTATGCACAAATGGGGACCTGGGAGGCACATCTTCACATTCACCCCAAACCCCTACTGAGAATTTATAAAAATCAACTCAATACGAAGACTTCAGGAATATAAGAAGGCTGGAGAACGGTGAGGATAATTATGGTGTTTGGACGGACAAGTTTCCATAAGGGTCCTGGAGGTGAGTCTGGGCTAGACTTTTGACAAAGGTGGAGCTGACATGTTCCAATGAAGATGTTCAGGAGGGAACAGAGCGGGGAGGTGTTCAAGGGTGAAAGGCTGTACTGGCAGAAAAGGGCAAGACATGCAGAGACAACAGTAAGGTCGGCTGTGTGCAGCAATGTTGAGAGCAATTAAAAGACACAGAAGCTGGGAATGTCATTGGGAAGCCTTGATTCTCTTTTTAATCAGCTTTGATTTAAGAAACTTGTAGTAAGCATTGACTGCTTCAGGGAAAACAAGTCTTTCTGCTGTGTACTGAACAGGTAGGAGGGTGAAGAGGGAAGAGCAGGAGCTACTTCTGAGGTCTGAAACAGCGTGAGGGGCTTCAGCTGCTCCCAGGATGCTCCCTCGGAGTTGATATGACACGAGGGGAGCAAGTAAAGCCCCATGTGATGCCAAAGATTTTGTGCCCTCAGTTCTATCCCCATATCCACCATAGCACCCCAAACAAATATGTTAACAAAAGAAGTATACTTGCTGGATAAATGCCATCTCAAAGCAAGCTCCTGCTGTAGAAGTTTATTGGTGAGTGCTAAATAATATTGTGTATTTAGCTGGATGTTCAGGGGAGATTTTTTTCTCAGCAGGAAACATTTGTGCTGAGCCCTGAATACTTTATCCATGGGCAGTGAGTCAGGGAAAACATTTTAGCCCACAAAGGCATTTTAAAAAGAGCTTGTGGAAAGATGTTGAGAAAAAAACAAATGAGGTTGCAGAATTATGTTTATAATCTTCTTAAGCTATTAGACGACCAAGAAGAGATAGATGCTCAGAAGAACTAGAAAGCACTGCACCTGTTTGTCTTGAAAACTACAGAGGTCAAAGATAAAAGTGAGGCAATTGTTACCTTTTTAAATTCCAAGAAAACGCTAATCAGGTTTGAAATTCTAGAGGTAAACATCATATTTTATTGACCCTCAGTGGGTTACAGCTTTAAGCAGTAAAGGCAAGGACAGTGATAGTGATTTTTGAGATGAAATAGAAGCATGTGTAGGAAACTATGTAAAAGAAAATGACCTAAATAACAGTTCAATTTTTCCCCCTACAGGGGTATGAGCCAGATCCTACTGTAACCAAGTTGGCAGAGCAATATGCCAAGGAGGTATGCTCCTTCTATATCAGTTATAATTGCCTTTCTCTGGCCCATGAAGTTGTGTAACCCTGCGCTTGTGTGTGCTAGAATGGTACCAAGCTGTCACTGACAAATGATCCACTGGAAGCGGCTCGTGGAGGCAATGTATTAATTACAGACACTTGGATCAGCATGGGACAAGAAGAGGAAAAGAAAAAGCGGCTCCAGGCTTTCCGTGGTTATCAGATTACAATGAAGGTACGAGTCAATGCCTGTTTGAAATGTCATTAATTCTAACCGTAAAAGCCAGACCATCAAACTGCTTGTTCATTTGAGGGAGAGCAGACCATCCTTGCATTCCTGAAGGACTCAGAAAGTTACTGGCCATTACCCCTAGGAATTTCTCTTTGGAAGAGTTGCTGTGTCCATCAGAAAGAGCCTTTTGACCTGGATGAAACTTTTTTTTTTTTCCCTCTCACCGGCATAGAGGTACTGGACTCCTCTACTCCTCTTAGACACATCAGGTCGTTTCTGCTGTATGTGGTCTCTTCTGACTTCTCTATGAAACGCTCCGTAATTATGTTCTTCAGGTTAGTCCTTGCCTCCAAGTTTTAGACTCTTACATCCAGTTTAGTTGTATTCCCTGCCTTTAAGGCATCCCAGGGGAATTCCATCCAATCTGATGCCTTTCATGAACATCTGAAGCAATATCTCTCAACCTTTATTATGCCTTGAGCTTCTAGAAATAGCTGGCAACAGACATCCACCCCCTTCCACCTCAACCCCACCAGTGTTTCTGATTCAATAGGTCAGGTGTACTTTAAACATTTTTCCAGCAAAGTAAGTCATTGGTTTTAGTGCAGAAAGGTATTAAGTCATCACAAAAGATATTTTATTCATAAAATAACATAAATACAGGCGTCTCATTTAAACATGCCAAATAGAAATACATAAAATTTTCAAAATTAAATTTGAAAATTAAAAGTGAGATGTCCTTCTTCCCCAGTCACCTTAGCAATGACTATACCCAGGGGTATTACAGACTGATGTGCCTCTCTTCATACCTCTGTTACAGGGCACCCCAGTGTGAACTGGGCCACCTGTCTATGGGGCCTCACTCGCATGCTGAAAATTCAGTTGTACTGCAGGCATACACAAAAGAGTCAATAATGGTTTTATTTAAAAAAGGGGAAAGAAACAACCCAGGGAAAGAGAGAGGGACACAAAGCAACTGGAATATCTTACGAGCTCGCTGACTTGCAGCTCTGGTAACTAACTGAAAGCCACCAGTCGCTTGTTCCCGAGAGCCATTTCCTGAGCGAGAAGGGAGAGCCATAGGGAATGGCACCCTATTTATCCCCCAAAGTCCCAGAATGCCTACTTAGCTCTGCCCTTGGGTCCTCGCAGTTCTCTCCCTGGTACTGCTGGGAGTTGTAGTTTCCAATCACTGGAGTAGGGGGTGGAGTCCAGAAAGCTGGAGTAGGGGTGGAGTCCATGGAACTTTTTTTTTTTGGTTTATTCACTGAGATCTTTTCATTGTTTTTAATGGCTGCATAGAATTCCAAAGTGTGAATGGGCCATTATATACTTAAAATATTTTCAGTTCATTAATTAGTCTCTTTCTAATGATTACAATTATAAACATTGCAATGTCCTTATACATGTCTTTCTGCAAGTATTACTGGAGGATCGATCGCTTGAAGAATTTATGGATGTAGTGTTATATATTATTTAAAATACTGGAAAATACTGCTAAAGTGCCTATCCAAATAGAATTGACAATTTATAGTCTTTCTGAACTCTCTCCATTCCTGTAATTTATGTTTTTTAATCTTTATCTCCTGCTTTCCAAAATTGGCCTTTCCCTGCTTACTAATGAAGTGAAGCATCTTTTTGTTTATTGGTCATTTCCATGTATTTCTATAAGTTGCTATCATATTCTTTGTCCATTTTTTATACTTTTTGCCTTCTTATATTTGTTTGTGTTCGTGATATATTCTGACTAATCATTTGTCATATAGTTGGCAAAAAATTTTATGGAAAAAATTAAAATTCTCTGTCATTGGCCTCATACTTACTATGAACAAGCTTGCTTATTTGCCTGGTGCTGAGGCTGCAGGCTTGAACAACAGTCATCTTAATGACATGTGAGTGTTTGAAATGTTACTCCTTTGCCAGTATTTTAGAAACCGAGAAGGTTCTGAACCTAGAAGGATGGGAAGTAAAACAACATCTTATACAAAGGGGGCCATTTGGAAGTCGGAGCATATAAGGGATTGTAGTCTTGAATCTCTAAGTGAGCAATAGAAATGGACAGAAAAATGTAACTTTTAAAAATGAACTCTTAGAGTTCATTAAAACTATTAGTACACCGGCCTTATGAATGAAACTTCCAATGCATGATGGCTCAATTAAGAATGAAACATATAGTAAAAATAGTGATAGTTCTGTTTTTTTTTTAAAGATTTATTTATGCATACAGAACTGGGGTACAGGCCAGAGGTGTGGGAGGTAAGAGAATTCACCAGAGACAGAGTGGGGAGCAGAACAGGCAGATGGACAAAGTACACTGCTGAGGGGAGCAGCGGGCGGGTCAGGAGCTGTCTGCTACGCCATGTGGTCACCTCCGGGGCAGGCGGGAATCGAACTCATGCGGAAGTGACTTTAGCTTCCGAGTGCTGTGCTTTAACTGCTTTAACCCGCTGCACCACCAGGGAGGGCCTGTGATATTCCTGTTTAATACACTCCTATCTCAGTGGTTTTATTCAAAATTAGTTTAACTAGTGATAGAATATGCTATAAACGTTAATCCCCATAATCTGAACATAAGTTGAAAATACAATAAATCACATAAAAGCAACTTTTAAAATATATTGAGCTATTATTGGTGCCTCTTGCTACCAGTCACATATTACAATAGTAGGACACTACTGAAAAGTTTACTATCCCACCAGACAGGACCAGAGAAAATAGTTTAATTTGGAGCCATAATTTCCCAAGTAAAAGAACATGACTATACTTATGAACACCGGAGCTTTAGTAGAGGGCAAGTGAAGCATGTACATGTATTGAAGTGTAAAGTAGTACTCCAAGCACATATTTTTTTTTTTAAAAAAATGGCAAATCAATAAAATTTTGATGGGAAAAAAATGACTAAAATGTTCTATTCATTGAAAGTACCATATAAATTTCTCCTGGGTGCCTTGAGCTTAAATCTTCATTCTTCCCCTATGTCTCCCCTTTGGAATTGATCTCTGGCCTCAGGCCAGATATATTTTTAAATACTGAAGAAGACAAATCTGACAGCTACACATAGTTGTCAAAATGCAATCTTACCTCATTTCTCCCTTTTTGGCCCCATCTATTTTTTAGACTGCTAAAGCTGCTGCCTCTGACTGGACATTTTTACACTGCTTGCCCCGAAAACCAGAAGAAGTGGATGATGAAGTATTTTATTCTGCACGATCCCTCGTGTTCCCAGAGGCTGAGAATAGAAAGTGGACAATTATGGTAAGTACGAGATGGGAAGGATAGGAAGGAGTCTCTCTGTGAGGACCCAGCTTGGTCATTCATGACTTTTGGTAGATAATAAGCAACTGAGATTATCCACCTACTCATATGACATTGATGTTTTCTTCCCTCCCAGAAAATTCATAATAGTGTATTATGGCTAATTAGACTTTAAAGTGCCACAGCAAAAACTTTTCCTTGCATTCTGTTCTTTTTCAGATGACCATTGATATTGTAAAGACAAGTCAATCAATATCTGTTAAAATCGGTCCTTTGTAGAAATTCAGGGAGAAGGAATCTTAGAAACTTAGAAAATTTTCTAAAATATCATGACCTGGGAAGGGAGGTGGACACACATGCCCTCTCATTATGTCTCTGAGACAGATGATTTAGAAACTCCGGTAGGTTAAGACCCTTTCAGCAACCATATATACCACATCTACGGTCTGTCAGTCCTCTGCCAGGCACTGGAGATCAAAAAGCGAGTGTGCCATTCTCACACAGGGCAACTCAGAGACACATGGGATAAGACCTTAGAGAGTGTCTAGTTGAAGCTCCCATTTTATAGGCAAGGCAATTATTCTTATGCAGCTCATTTAGAATGGCATTTAGGCTTAATGCTGCCATGTTAGATTTTTCTAGGATGTTCTAAAAGGACAATACCTTTTTCCTTGAGAATATCCCTCCCCAGTACAGAAACCACTAGGTGCTATGCCTATTTCAAATTCAATTGCAATTATTTAAAATACAATAGCATTTAAGATTCCTTTCCTCTGACATACTAACTACATTTTAAGTGCTCAATCGTCACATATGGTGCAGCATAGAACACTTCCATCACTACAGAAAGTTCTGTTGAACAGTGCTACTCTATAGAGAATAATTTCTACACACACAACTGAATTTCAAACAGGATAGACAGAATGAAAACCACAACCTGGTTTCACATTCTGAGATGCCAATAATGACTGATGTGAAATGTATAATTAAATAGGGTGAAGGGCTTCTTCACAACGAATACAGTATTTTAAAAGTAAAATTGGACTCAGAGCACTCAGAGTAGCTCTTTTTTAAAAAAA